TAGTACTTCCGATAATCATTGAGATAGAACTAAATTAAGTCCTTTTATCATAAAGCAAAGCCTTCATATCTCAACATGAAGAGCTAAGTCTGACAAAGCAAGGAGGAAGACATCAATGCTTCACTCATCTACAGGACTGACACATGGCAAGAGTGCCCTCCCCTTCTGCCCTCACCATACATAAGAGCATTATTTTAGAATCACAGGTTATTTTTGTTGATTTGTTGTTATGTTGATTTTAGAATCTACATAGGTTGCATGAGGGAAAATTTCCATCTAATTTCCATTCTGCCACTAGAAACAGGGCATTATAAGAGGACATGTGTAAAATTCTTATTGTTAAAACTCACCTCCCATTGCAGTCAATGGGAGTTTTACCATTAACCTCAGTACAAGCAATTAAGTAGCAATGCAGGCTAATAAAATTCATTCTTAAAATTCTTGTCACATCCTTTCTTTTGTAAGTTACTATCACTCTCCTAGGATAATTTCACCTACTTAAGAGACTTCCCTTGAGAAATGGAAGATTTTTCATCTCCAGCACAAGAAAGCTTTTTTAACTCCTAGCTAGCATAAGCATGTCTCAAAAACAATGTCAAATTCCAAAAAGATTAATACAGTAACTTAACTGCATAGATTATGCATGTTTTATACAACATCATTACACAGTGCCACAGGCAAGCTACTAGTCAATTTGATTATGATGACCCCAAAATAAATTTATAAAGTTTTCTTTTTCTGGAACAAGAGAGATTCCATCCGTGTCTTTTATGGTCACAGAGTGAATTTCTATAGACATCTCTGTTAGATACAACTGATTGAGGCCAACCAGGACTAATTTGTAAATTATTTGTAACACTGACTTTCCAACATTAAATCTTTTACCATAAAGATGCCCTCCCAGTCACCATCTGTGTTATTACTAATTAATTTACCAGTTCATTTCTTTCATCTGCTAAGAGAGTATTTCTGTCTTCCAGCTTCCTTATTACAGCATTCAGTTCAGCAATTTTTAACTGAAATCTCCGCACATCTCGTTCATCCAAATGCTGCTCCTTTACATCAAAAACATATAGATATATAAAATTACCTTTTAAAAAATATTTTACTATCCATAAATTTAATATTATGGTTTAGCAAGTGGATTGTGTAAATTTAAAATAGACTCTTTACATCAATGTCTGGAAAACTTATTTTAATTAACTGAAACACTGAACAATAACATCCTGTGGAAATGCCGCATGATAGATATGAATATATGAAAAGTGTCTACTTGTGAAATGTATGTAAAGGTTTAACAATTTTAAAAAAGCTAGATAAATAATATTTCACCTATTACTGGTTACTTCTCACCAGATTTCTTACTAACAGCTAAAAGTAAAAAAATTTAGTGCATAGGACACAGCTTAAAATCACATGGCACAGTTTTTGAAAAATATAGTATCTATTTGTCTTTGGTTAAAATCATTCCTGAAGTTATAAAATAAATAGCTAAGAAAATAATGGGGTTCACAGCTAAAGTTCACAATGTAAATTCTAAAAGTTCTATATCCACACATTTTTCAACATTCTTTGAAATTCAAGAGATCCAAGCAGTTTCTAAATCACCAGCGAAACAGCACAGCGCAGCGCAGGGCCATTTACCATGAATTAGCACTTCTAGTATTTTAAAAGTAACCACAAAACCAATGTGAACACCCAGGCAGCAATTATCCTGTGTTGAACATTTGAAGAAAACACAGTTTTCTTACCGGGCTTCCCATCAGTTCGGTGATATCCCCCACTCCCGCAGGAAGCTCTCTCTTAGGACTGCTGTGGTATCGTTCTGCCTCCTTCACCTGGACAAGCTGTTCATCCAAAGCCTCCTTCTGAAGGAGCAGTTTCTGTGTATGGCCTGCCTGGACACCAAGGTCTTTCTCCAGAGCCAGAATGACTCTGTCTTTGCCTTTTATCTCATCCATCTGGAAAGAAATAAGGCAAGAAGGAAGTTTCTGTAACATCTCCAAGTGTTCACTGCATGCATATCCACAAACTTGCAAAAGCAAAGTTCTGTTTCTCTCAGAATTACACCAGCAGCCAAACTGTGCTTGCTAAAAAGAAGATATATTTCCTCTGAAGCTTTCTCCCCTCCCCTTAAAAAAGTTTCAGCCTGCACTTGATCGTGAGTTTGCTCTGTGCAGTCTCAACTCAAAAGACAAACAAAAATAGATACAAATATACACTGAAACAGAATACATAGCCACTGAAATCATGCGCTTCATCTGAGGATACACACTTCTATAAGCAGAAGAAAAATCTCCCTTCACTACGCTTCAGAGAAGAAACACAGGGCTAGTACAAGGTAAGACAAACACACCCTTTAAAACTCACCTGGGTTTTGTTTTAAGCTTGAGCCATACACATTTCCCCATGTTGACTCCCTCTTTATTAGTGAAAATCACACGTGGTGAATCTTTTCACAGACATTTAAAAATTAGTAGCATATACATGCACACACATTTACACTTAAAATCTTAAGCATACCTATGTATTTTATGTGCCCTCGCTACAAGATTCAAATGAGGACTAGTCTTTGTGTAGAAGGAAAAAAAGCAAATGCACACAGGGCATTAGAATAAAGGGTAGGAAGAAATAGTTCTTAAACACCATCTATGGTTACTGAACTGTGTTGTTCATACATCTCAATACCAAATAAAGCATACTGCTAGCAGTCTTCTATTGCAGCTCTCACAGGATTTGTCCCTTGCAGCATCAGTGTTAAATTCACTTTGGTACTATTCCAAATACTAGAGGAAGTGACAATCTGCAGCAGTTACTATAGAAACAGATTTCTTAACAAGAATGTTAACCATTAACAATATATTTATTGGAATTGTGCTGTATCTCCTTCAGTTTACTAAATTGTTTCCTTGGCCAACATAAACCCATGGAATTTTGAAATAAGAATGCTATAGTCTTATCTGAAAAAATAAAATAAAATCATGCACTTGTTAAATTATATATTTGTTGTTTATTATAGCCCTCCATCCACAGAAGTCCTTTATGTCAAGTTACACCAAAAAAAAAGAAAAAAAAAGGAAATGTGAGAAGTAATTTATAGTTTAAGTCTGAGTGATGTACAGGATTAACACAATCACAGTACACGATCAGATACAATTTGCTTCTTCAGCATTCTTGCCTTACTCCCTTCACAGTATACAAAGCATGTGAAATCAGTTTGTGTACGGAACCTGAGTGGCAGGAGATGGCCTGGCTGAATCAAGTCAAGTCATGATTGAAGATAAAAAGGTCAGATTTGAAGTGAATAAGCTGGTCTACACTACTTCTAAGTTCAAACTGGAACTGATGGACATTGGTTCTGATGGAGATTTCTTTCCTGATTTGGGAAGGTCGCTGGGTCTGAATTCCTTATCCAGTGAATAGGTATAATACTTCCCAGTACGTCAATTCAGATTTGTGAGACTTTCAAGTATGCCAAAAAGGACTTGCAGGAAAAGAATGCAGGTTTTATTAATGGAAGAATTTGCAACATGCAGGGTTTCAGAGGGACTGTGCAGTGAACAGCAATGACAAAAATTAAGCAGCTGCCTCATTCACTGAATGCTATCTGTCATGCACACTGATCTATCAGGGAGCCCTTGGAAGGAAAAAAATGTCATGTAACTAAATACTGTGGACAGTTTCGCTTTCAATTACACAGGTGTTCACAGTGAACATCTATGTAACCGAGATAGGAATTTGTCCATGCAAGGCATATATTTAACAAGGAAGACCCAAGGTTACATAGGCAGCCTTGATTTTAGTTACCCAATTAGTAGCACGTTTCATACTCTCCTCATATTCTCACAGCTTAAATGGTAAATGGAACGACATAGGTGTTTAAATTGGAAGAAAAAAGACAGCAACAATCTCAGTACGGACTGCTACTTGCTAAACCTCAGCAGATCGTTTGGAACAGATGGAACCAGTGAAATCACACCCATGTCACCCTTCACACACATTTCCATAGATCAAAGCACACAAGCTCACACACAGTAGAAAGAAATGCCATGAAGGAGAATGGCTTTGGGGTGGTGGTTAGGGGAAGGCAGGGAAGAAGGCAGAATTCCCCTCTCCCCTTCCTACTACTGTTTTTTTCTACCATAAAGTCTACATGTGGTGAAAATTTCAGAATAAAGAAATACCCCATGTCTCAGTCAAATAGAAAAACCTTTGAGACACTGATAATAATAGCAATATAATAGCAATGTATATTTTAAGTTACAGGTAGGCACTGGAGAATCTCTTACTCATGTAAACATATGCACAAGCGCACACACAAATACACAGAGCATTGCAATAGTGCTTATTTTTTTATAAGCAGTAACTAGCAGAAAGAAGAATTTCTAAGCAACTAACTTATTACAAACTGATAAAGATGAATAGAACTGCAGCAGTAACACCTCTACCTTAAGCTCTATTTCAGAAGCCTGGGGTACAATACAATTCTCCTTTCCTCAAGGGGCCAGTTACACCTTTCATTTCTCCAATGTAACTGCATCAACCCAGTCAATGCCTCAGTTTTCTTAAATCTACCCCAGTGCCTGACCCAAAGATTTACCCTCTTTCCTCAGACTTGCACACTACAGAGCAAACTTGTTCATCTTTCCTGTCTGCTTTCTTAAGAGTACAAATTACTCCAGAGAGGGAAAAAAAGGAAGAGAAATATTTTACAGGGATGCAACATCCCTAGGTTCCACATGGGAGCGATGGCAGGTCAAGAGGCAGGCAGGCCAAGAAAGAGGAGGTACGAGGCTAGGAAAAGGAGAGATATGGTTTAGGTTTCAACTGAACACAAGCAGACAGTTAGAGAAGAAAGGTCAACCACTCCCAAAATACTTTAGTTTAGCTTAGTCTTATGCATTCTAAGAGTTGTAAAAGCTCACACAAAGTCTCCATGCCAGTTCTGTACCACTGGAGAACTACTCTTTTCTCAAATTCTTGCCACATTTGGTTACACATAGAAAAAAAAGTTGGCAGCATAAATTAAAAACAGCGCTATGTAATTAGACCATGTATTATGGTTTTTATTTTAGTGGGGAGAGGAGTATCTTCCATTAGATAAATGAAGATCAAAATGGATTAATCTGCGTTCCCTGCTGCTTGCTATCTTGATCAAATACATCTTGTAGAAGCAACACTGTCATAGCCAAGGTAGTTTAGGAATCCACATGGCCTAAAAGAGAAGGAATATTTTTTATTACACCAAGTGACAGAGTTGGGAAGAAACAAGCTTTCAGGTACAGAAGCCCTTCAGGAGATTAAAAAGCTGTGCGCTTAAAAGCTTGTCAACGTTTCCACCTCTGTAAGTTTTCTTTTCCCAGAAACGTTTCACTCTCTCTCGCTCTCCCCCCATATATATATGATATGTATATGTATATGTATACGTACATACACACAGTGTACATATACAGGTATATATACACATACATATACACACTCACATTTTGAGATATTTTCCAATTGTCATTTATGACTACTGCAGACAAGCTGAACGTCATTGGCTTTTATGATATTAAGTGAAATAACAATTAGTGCATCCCTCACGACCTCTCAAGTTTAAAGGTTTAACCCTGTATTCTATTACAACATTTGTTCACCAGACAGCATCCAGAATTTGTTACTTTACCATGCATAGCATTTCTTTCTTTTTCATGCTTTTTAATGTCTGTTTTACATCACTAGGGAACCATCCCCAAACTCCTCATCACTTACATACATAAAATATTCATCATTTTTAATTCTGTTCTCTCCCACATGTAATTTGATTACATCTAAAGACTCTTTTTGCCTATCAGCTATAAAATCCATACATGCAGGTAGACTTTTACCTGAGTTCTTGTACCATGCCTTAGTCATTGCAACATTCTCCTTTCTGACCTTAAATGCAGTCCTGCCTGCTCACTAGCCAATGTGAATGCTGTTGTTATTGATGCTCTTTTCACAAAACTCTCATCTCTGGATTCTCTAAGCTGTCTTTCTTTTCACTACATTAAACAACAACAACAATCACTCTCACTGTCAAAGATGTTCACAGCCTACCTGGAGTCCATTCATGCCCTATCTAATATTAAGGTGCGATGTCCCCTCCCCAATATTAGCTTGTCATATATGCAGTCATGTATTTTCATATTTTCTCCCATGCCACGCTGTTCCTACTTGAAGGGACACCTCACAAATATCCATTTAGTTACTTGACTGACCTTCCTCAAATTCCTCTTGTATCTCTCCTTTTCCATGACACTTCTAAAATACAAAAGGAAACAATGAAAAAAACTGCAAACACTTAACAGAAATTACGCTGCTGAGATCACAATCTCTTGTCTGGTCATCAAACAGGATACCTAAACTAACAAATCCCTGAGAACCCAAGACATAGGAAGCACATTATAGAAATGCAGGAATTTCTCCACTGGAAGTGATGCAGGTATGTCAAGGCCAGCACTGAGCTGAAGCTAATAAACCTGAATGGATCAGTTCTCACCTGATGATCCATGACCAGATGCTGAGCAAGTAGATGCCTTTCCACTGTGCTCCTCGACCCATCATGGTCCAGGGAGCATGGTGCAGGACCTGCCACACCAGGCGCCTGTAAAAGGTTTCTGCACCCGTGGCACAATGGAGCTGGGACAAGCAACACGTGGCAACTGAAAGCTGACTGCACTAGCCTCCTACCACTGCTTTTGTGTATTCCTCCCTGTACTCCTATTCATTTGAGACCTCTCACTAAGATACAAAGGGTAGAGACCATCTTTTCTTCCAACGTATTTAGCACAATCAGATCCCAACCCATGCATTGGGTTCACAGGTATTATATTAAATCAAATACATTATCCCAGAAATTACTTCCAACTGGCTGCTTTGGTTTCAAATTTGTTCTCAGTTCAAAACAAATTTGCCCACTTTTTGCAGCTACACAATA